CCCTCTGACCCCCAGGCTGAGCTGCAGTTTTACCTGGTTGTGGCCTTGGCCTTGATCTCAGTGCTTTTCCTCCTCGCGGTGATTCTGGCGGTGGCCCTGCGCCTTCGAAGCTCCTCCAGCCCCGCCTCCTGGAGTTGCTTTCAGCCTGGTCTCAGTTCCAAGCCTGGACCTGGGGTGCTCCCCAATTACAGTGAGGGAACATTGCCCTATTCCTACAATCTGTGCGTTGCGTCACAATCAGCTAAGACGGAGTTTAATTTTCTCAACGTGACCCCGGAAGTGACTCCCCCTCAGGATCTCCTCTGCGAGGATGCCTGTTGGGTACCAAGTACAAACCATGGAGACGGTGACGGCCCACTTGCCTCAGATACTATTTTAAAGGTGAGCTTTAATTTAATTAACTTATTTGCACTTTGAGTTCCACTGTTTCTTAACGAATCACCTAACTGGGATAGGAGTCTTCATTTCATATTTCATTGTCCTGTGGTTTGAATTTAGGCAACTTTCTGCCCTAATTATCTTAATCCTACCTAACCAAACTTTTGACGGTTTTCTATACAATGTGTGGTGAGATTTATTTGTTCATAATTACGAGCCTTTACAATATGAGATACTTCCCTTTATTACTATTGGCATCTTAAGCTATTTCTTTCATATTACTCAATTTTATTACTCAAATTTTCGTTTTACTTCCTCTGAGAATTATAGTACTTCAGAGTAATGAGAGTTCCTCATCTCACTAGTTTTGGGAAACTGGGAACCAAAGAAAGGAATTTTACCTGATGTCATGGCTTGTCAACAGGGAAGCATGGGTAGAACTGACTTGAATATCAGCAATTTAAATGTCTTTACAAACTAAATGTCTTAGGATTTCGGATCTATTAATATTTTATTTTATTTTATTTTACTGGGGAATTGGGGAGGAGAACAGTGTTGAAGAATTGGGGAAGGGGAACATTGTGTTTTTCCAGGACCCATCAGCTCCAAGTCAAGTTATTGTCCTTCAATCTTAGTTGTGGAGGGCACAAGCTAAGCTCCAAGTCCAGTTGCCACTTTCAATCTAGTGGGGGTGGGGTGGTGGTGCAGCCCACCATCCCATGCGGGAGTCAAACTGGCAACCTTGTTGCACACCGAACCATCTGGCCACCCATCAGCAGCTTGTGGCTGCTCAGCTCAAGGTGCCATGTTCAATCTTAGTTGCAGGGGAAGGGGAAGGTGGCGCAGCCCACCATCCTGAATGGGAGTTGAACGGGCAACCTTGTTGTTGAGAGCACAAGCACTCACCAGCTCAGCAGCAGCTCCGCTGGGGCGCAGCTCACTGGCTCATGTGGGAATTGAACCGGCGACCCTGTTGCTCAGAGCTGGTGCTCTAACCAACTGAGTCACTCAGCGGGCTCCTCGGATCTATTTTTAAAGGGTGGGCAAAGTTTGAGCTCTGTTAAGAACGTGTTTAATAAATGGGAGAAATCTCTCATGCGTAGTGATAAATTGCTCTTTGTGAAAATTGTACATTGAGAAATTGTTTTCAACCTATACTCACATTGTGTACTTAAAACTGTATGTTTTGAATTTTCTAATTATAGATATAGAATATCTTCAGTGTCTTACGAAGGTGTCATTAAGTAAAAATTGCTTCTCTTACTTAATGGACTCTTTGAAATGTCCATTTTTTCAGTCATGAAGTTTTTCTTTTTCCGCTACCACATAAAAGTGATAACATTAAATATGTCTCAACATAGAAAGTCTATTTGCTGCCTGCTTGCTGTTAAGTTATAGACATATTTTTCTGCATGGGTGATTAATTAAAGCCCTTTCCTCTACAATAACTATATGGATTTTCCCCCAAGAGTCTGTCACTATATAACATCTAACTCCAATTTAGACATGGTAACACGAAAATATAAAGAACGCAAAGTTAACCCAACTCCAAGTCTCAGTCTGATATAGTGTAGCTGCCATATTCTTAGGGTGAAAAACTGGAACTTTCTTAAAGACCTCACTAGTAACAAAATGGCCCATAAATTTTTTCTGCATATGCAGCTAATACAATGTGCATGAGTCAGTATGCCTTTTTGCAAAGGTGCATTGACAGCTAGGCTTGTTTCCTTGGCATTCTATGTACAAATGGGCACATTTTATAAATATATCCTAATTCAAAGATGAAATCTTAAAACCTACAAAAGTAAGAATTACAATGTCCTAATCTAATGGACTCAATGTAGGTAAGAGGTAAATAAAAGGACACAGGCTTAATGGAACATTAAATAAAACTCTTCTAAAGAAGTAAAAAGAATCTAATAATTATATTGATCTCAGGGGTTTATGGAAGTCTTAATTCTTTCATAATTAAATATTAAATATAAACAGTGTCATGAGATAATATATGAAGGATACAGAAAAATTATTAGAAATAAAATATAATGAAACATTCATGAAATAAATTGGTGTAGTAACTGGTTAGGACTCTGAGCGTCGCTGTTCACCAAAGTGGGAAAGAAACTGCTGCTGATGCGATCTGACTCTGCTCCTTCCGCACTAAATACGCACAGACCAGCCAAGCTCCTGGAAAAAGCTTTGCACTCACCGCCCCTCTCCCATTTCCAACAAGAAATGGCTTTAAAGAAATAAGGCACCAGCAGGCTGGAACCAGGACTAAGAGAAAACTGGTGGGAGAGAAGGCAATGGCGGATCCTCTGAGAGGTTGGGGCTGCAGAGAACTGCTCCTGCTCTTCCTGTTCCTGGGGACGCGGTGGGGAGCCAGGGCCGGGCAGATCCGCTACTCGGTTCCCGAGGAGCTGGACAAAGGCTCCTTCGTGGGCAACATCGCCAGGGATCTGGGGCTGCAGCCCGGGGAGCTGGCGGAGCGCGGAGTCCGCATCGTCTCCAGAGGTAGGACGCAGCTTTTCGCTCTGAACCCGGGAAGTGGCAGCTTGGTCACCGCGGGCAGGATAGACCGGGAGGAGCTGTGCGCCCAGAGCGCGCGGTGTCTGGTGAGTTTTAACATCTTGGTTGAGAATACAATGAAAATTTATGGAGTAGAAGTAGAAATAATCGATATTAATGATAACTTTCCGCGTTTCCGGGATGAGGAAGTAAAAGTAAAAGTTAATGAAAATGCGGCTACGGGAACGCGCTTAGTGCTTCCATTCGCTCGAGATGCGGATGTCGGTGTGAACTCCCTCCAGAGTTACCAGCTCAGCTCCAACATGCACTTCTCTCTGGATGAGAAAAGTGAAAGTGATGGACAAAAATACCCAGAGCTGGTACTGGAACAGCCCTTGGACCGGGAGAAGGTGTCTGTTCACGACCTCCTCCTCACAGCTTTAGATGGTGGAGAACCCATACTCTCTAGTACTACGCACGTCCGCGTGGTGGTCCTCGATGCCAACGATAACGCACCCCAGTTCACTCGATCGGAGTACAGAGTGAGTGTTCCAGAGAACATTCCTGTGGGCACTCGGCTGCTCACACTAACCGCCACGGATCCAGATGAGGGAATAAATGGGAAACTGACTTACGTTTTTCGCAATGAGGAAGACAAAATTTCAGAGACCTTCCAACTTGATTCCAACCTGGGTGAAATCTCAACGGTGCAATCACTGGATTATGAAGAATCCATATTCTACCTCATGGAAGTGGTAGCTCAGGATGGAGGTGCTCTTCTTGCCAGTGCTAAAGTGGTGGTCACAGTACAGGACGTGAATGACAATGTCCCAGAAATGATCCTCACCTCTCTCGCCAGTTCCATCTCTGAAGACTGTCTTCCTGGAACCGTAATTGCTCTGTTTAGCGTACATGATGGGGATTCTGGAGAGAATGGAGAGATTACATGTTCTATCCCCAGGAATTTACCATTTAAATTGGAAAAGTCAGTTGACAATTACTATCACTTATTGACAACGAGAGCCCTGGACAGAGAAGAGGTCTCAGATTATAACATCACAATAACTGTCATTGACCATGGAAATCCACCCCTGTCTACAGAAAACCACATCTCCTTGAAAGTGGCAGACATCAATGACAATCCTCCCATCTTCCCTCACACCTCGTACTCCACCTACATCCCAGAAAACAACCCCAGAGGTATCTCAATCTTCTCTGTGACTGCCCATGACCCCGACAGTGGAAACAATGCCCAGATCACTTATTCTCTGGCCAAGGACACACTTCAGGGAACGCCTCTCTCTTCCTATGTCTCCATAAACTCTGACACCGGTGTCCTATATGCACTGGGCTCTTTTGACTATGAGCAGGTTACAGAATTGCAACTGTGGGTGACAGCCAGTGACAGTGGAAACCCTCCACTTAGCAGCAATGTGTCACTGAGCCTGTTCGTGTTGGACCGGAATGACAATGCTCCTGAAATCCTGTACCCCACACTCCCCACCGATGGTTCCACAGGTGTGGAGCTGGCGCCCCGCTCCGCAGAGCCGGGCTACCTGGTGACTAAGGTGGTGGCAGTGGACAGAGACTCAGGCCAGAACGCCTGGCTGTCCTACCGTCTGCTCAAGGCCAGCGAGCCAGGGCTTTTCTCCGTGGGGCTGCACACAGGTGAGGTGCGCACTGCGCGGGCCCTGCTGGACAGAGACGCGCTCAAACAGAGCCTGGTGGTGGTGGTCCAGGACCATGGCCAGCCCACTCTCTCCGCCACTGTCACGCTCACTGTGGCGGTGGCTGACAGCATCCCAGACGTCCTGGCCGACCTGGGCAGCCTTGAACCCTCTGCCAACCCTAATGATTCAGACTTGACGTTGTACCTGGTGGTGGCAGTGGCAGCTGTCTCCTGTGTCTTCCTAGCCTTTGTCATCATGCTGTTGGCACTCAGACTGAGGCGCTGGCACACGTCACGTCTGCTCCAGGCATCCGGAGGCAGATTGACGAGTGTGCCTGCCTCTCACTTTGTGGGCATGGACGGGGTGCAGGCATTCCTGCAGACCTATTCCCACGAGGTCTCCCTCACCGCAGACTCAGGGAAGAGTCACCTGATCTTCCCACAGCCCAACTATGCGGACACGCTCATCAGCCATGAGAGCTGTGAGAAAAGCGAACCTCTTCTGGTGTCTGAGAAGATAAATGCAAACGAAGAACTAGAAGCTGTTCAGGTGAGTTCTCTTTTTCAGTAGGGATGCTTGGAGCATTTTGTTCTTTGTTTCCTCAATTATTTTTCTTCCACATTCAAAATTAGTTAATTATCTAGTAGTGAATCATTATTGGCTTTATTTAGAGGTTAGCTTAATTTAATTTAATAATTGATCTTTTCTCCATTTATTTTCAAATTATATTTTGGGTTCAATGTTTTATTTTTTTAATACACAGATATTTTAGAAAACCTGATATCCATAGACTTAAATGAAACAAGTACCTTAAAAGAAAGTGGTTAAATATAATCACTTTACTGAAAGACTTTCTTATACTTA